CACTCCTAAGTCACAAATCATCTCCCGGAGCTAACCGAACCATCGAAATTCACATCCGGACCCTCTAACTCATAAGTCAATGTCCGGTTGACTTTTCCAACTTAAGGCTTCTTAAAAGAGACTAAGTGTCTCATTTCTTATTAAAACCACTTCAAATCGACTCGATTACACAAGATATGGATAATGAAGCATAAGGAAGCTGAAAATGGGGAAATCGGAGCGGTAACTCATGAGACGACGGGTCGGGTCGTCACATATAGACTCTCAGTTAACAAACTCCTGGCTAGTCATGGTGTCGACGCCCCCCTTTTCTTCCAAAACGGAGTTCGGAATCGGGTATACGACATTCGGGAGGACAACTCTATTCCCTTTGCGATAATTGGGTTTTTTAGTTTGAAGAGTCGCGACCTAATGATTATACTGCATTAGGACACTTTAAGGAAGAATTTGAGATGAAGAACCAGAGTTTGGGTAAGGGATAGAAATTATCTCGAGGGAAAGGTGTTAGGTACCCCTCAAGATCCACTAGTGTGGTCCCGGCCATGCTACAATTGTGACTTTGAATGCAAACAAACAAGTAAACAAGCAAGCATTGCAAATACGAGAAAACTATTACAAATAAGGAGCACAAAAGGTTAAAAAAGTGCTGAATTTTAGGGAAGGAGCAGTTTAGTTAAAAGTGCAAGTAGGAAGAAGTCAAGTACTTAGTGCGAACAATCTGAAAATTATGTGAAAAACAGAAGTCGAAAGTGCAACAGCTTTTTAAGATTCAGAAAATTGTTAAACTAATAAAGAGGGAGGGGGGTCCTAGGTTTATATATTACATGGATCATTCGCACAACACTGGTACTCAATTGTACGCATAGTGTTATCGTGTAATCCTCATCTCCATGTCTACCCTTTTTCACCCCGTTAAGGTATTGGAGCGCGGAATGGTATCGTTCGCCTATTGCATGCTATTACCCGTCCCAAGTTATCAGTCCCGGGGCATTAGGAATTCTAATCCTAAAAGGGGAAGAAAGGGATGGGGGCCTTTATGGAGTTTAAAGGACAAAAATTCTAATCGACATTCAAAAACAAGTAACAAGTAGGGGGAATGAACAGACAAACAGGTAAGGCTCACATAAACCCCGTAAATCAGATAACATATAGTTTAGCATGCCTTTACACATACTGGTTTGGTCTTTAAAATTAAAAATTAAGCAGCGAGCGGACTGGTTCGATACATACA